CCCAGCTCCCTCAGCCTTTCCTCAGAAGGGAGATGCTCCACTCCCTTTATCATCTTCGTGGCTCTACGCTGGACTCTCTCAAGCAGTTCCCTGTCCTTCTTGAACTGTGGGGCCCAGAACTGGACACAATATTCCAGATGTGGCCTCACCAGGGCAGAATAGAGGGGGAGGAGAACCTCTCTCGACCTACTAACCACACCCCTTCTAATGCACCCCAGGATGCCATTGGCCTTCCTGGCCACGAGGACACAGTGCTGGCTCATGATCATCCTGCTGTCCACCAGCACTCCCAGACCTTTTTCCCCTACACTGCTCTCTTCTAGTAGATCATTCCCCAACCTATATGGGAACCTGCGGTTGTTCCTGCCCAGATGTAACACCCTACACTTGCCCTTATTATATTTCATTAAATTTTTCTCTGCCCAGCTCTCCAGCCTGTCCAGGTCTTGCTGAATGGCAGCACTTAATGGCAGAAACTTAAAGCAGCATTACTGATGGTTTAGCAGAAGTTTCAAAAGGGCAAAGGATTATCTGAATTTATACAGGAAGAGAAATCTGTTGCAGAGAGAGATATGTTTACTTTATGGCATAAGTTACCAACTACAGAACAACAAACCTGCTCCTGAGGATTTTTTAATGCTTCTGTAAATCAAAGTATTCATTTGAAAGTGCTGAAAATCATTCTGTTTGCTATTTGACAGTACTGCAAACTGTATCCAGAAACAGTCTGCTAGGCAGCCTACCTATGAAGACAAGTGCTGCTCCTAATTGCAAGGAAATTTTAAGACTTAGAACCGGGTGAAGGTTACAGACTGTGCTGACAGACCCATTAGTGCCAGAAATTAGATCTACACTAATGACATCAGAAAACAGCAAAGAATCACTCATTATTAAAAAGCTGCCTTCACATGGTATGTGAACAGTATCTGCTCTTGGGAATTATGGTCAGCTTTTAGGAAGTCTTCCAGAACTATGTGGACTAAAGAAATCCTTCCTGTATGTCAAGTTTCCCTGAAGAAGGATGTGTGGAGGGGAAAGATGATGAAGTTTTACAAATGTTATTTTCTTCTTTTCAAGGAGGTATAGTCTGTTTTGTGTTGACAGAAACAAAACCTCTAAACTACAAATTCTAAAATTATGTTAAAAAGATATTGTATCAATTCTGAGATAGCATTCATAGAAAAGGGGATGGAAGAGGTAAACTCAGTTAAGCCTTGCATTAAATTTCATCTGATAATAAAGATGGAAAAAAAGGAGTATTTAATTAAGTGGCAAATTAAGATCTTCAGGTAGACGAGAATGTAACAAGATACTCTTTTTCAATAGTAATCATTAACATCTTTTCTCAGAAAGACTACTTCGTGAATACATGCAGGAATGGTAAGGAATCCAAAGTTGTAAGTCCCACTTGCTCCCAATATTTAGAAACCCTTGCTTTCAGTTAAATCACATTTAGCAGCTTTACTGAGCTGAGATGCTTTCCTGAACTCAGTCCTCATTCAGATACACTCAGAAGCATATAGATCTCCAAAACACATAAACCTCAGCTTTGCCTGATCAATTTGCCTAATGATTTTGCCCTTGTTTTCATCACATACAATTACCAAGTTGCAAAAGGTAAGTGTTGCATTCTAGTAATAGAATTTCTGCCTCTGTAAAAAAAACCCCAAACGATTCAACAAACTTCAAAGTGCCTTACCTGTCTTCCAGCTTAGAAGTAACTCGCTGTAGGATCTGCATGGCCTGCTTGTGGTACTCCAGCTGGGCTTGTACAAGAGCAGAAAGCTGGCTCACTTGTTCAATCTGAGGATTGACATTAAAACATCAGATCTTAGGCAAGTGCTAACAGCTCAGCGATAGCAAGTAAAGATCACTGTCACAATGACACTGCAAAGGCAGTTTTATTTATTTCTCTAAAACTTGATTAATCTTAGCAGTTTGTAAATCATTACGTATCAGTCTTTATTCACTACCATGTCTGGTTATAACCTGATCTGGAATAGTAACATAACTTTTCTCCACCGATCATCTCCATGGCTGATTTGCATGAACAGCAGCCTACAGACCTGCCTCATTCAGCAAATACTATGAAAGTAAAAATGAGACTGTAATGAGAGCATAATACGCTTTCATCCTCCCTGCCTTTGAGGGACACAAAACCATAGGGACTATGGTCATGCTTCTCTTGTTTTCTGGCCTGTGAAGCAGACCAAAATAGGAAGATACTACATACTCTTGGATGCAGAGTATTTGTAGTGAAGGCAGATAGCATTCTACTTCATGAGGGGAAAAAACCTCAAAACTCTTGTAGGAGCAATGCAATTGCTAGCAGTTTCCATAATACACAATGCCACAACGGTGTAATGCAGGCCAGTGCTGTCTGGCCATACGGGGTTGGATGTTGCTACAGGGATTAAAACCACAAACTTCTTATACTTCTTTTATTTCAGCACAGTTATATTTAATTTCTAATATGCAAATATTTTCAGGCTTCTTATAGGCCCTCTACAGCAATCTGGTAACAAAAATGAAGAATTAAATTAGGTGTGTATTTAAACTGTAAATAAATCAAATAACTTACTTCAACAGAAATTTTTAAACTGACTTTCCTTCAACCACATATTCTGTAAGACAGACTTCAGCTGAAATATTTTTTTCCTCCAAAAGAGATAAATTTTTATTCTTGCTTGATTTTACAGTTTCAACATTAATTATAAATAGAAGATTAAAACAATCTAATACATGCTCAATCCTAAATCAGTCTGTAAGCAAAAAATACACTGCCAAGTCAGATTTGAGCAGTCACCTTAACTTTAGATTTCCTATTCACTATTCTGTCTGATCACAGCAGAGACCATGGGGTGGTGAGTTCATCATCTCTGATCTTTACCAATCCTCTCAGCAGCCCACACATTTGAGCAAAAGCCTTGGCTCAAACCCTAAAACCATAGCTAAGTAAAAGTCATAACTTACATTTACATAATTCTAAGAAGGAAGATACTTTGGTTTTACCTGTGCAGCAAGGAAGCATAAAAATGCTACAGAGTATTTAAATTCTTTAGCTCAGTTACCAATAAAATACCTATAAAATTAGTCCTATATGTGCATGCTGTACTTTATTATAGCTTCTGAGCTTCTCATTGAGTCCACCAAGGAGGAAAGTGCTTCCCCATTGTACAGTGACGGTAATCTGTGGTGTCACGAATATAATAATTAGTTTTAGACTGCTTTAGACTGCCTTCACTGCTGA